AAAGTCTCATTAAAATCAAGAAACGTGGTGGTGTTAAATCATTAATAAACAAGCAATTGGAGTACATTAGTTTGTAAGAAAAGAATATTACTTTTTTTTTAATTTTGTTTTTCACCGCAGATTTTACTAGTTTTCATTGCAAAATGGGTGGACTATAAGTTCTTCACTGAACATGAAAGTAAACATTTATTAAGTAAGAATTTTAAACAATCTTTTTTGATTGAGAATTAAAGAGGATCACTAAATTTGCCTTTTTTTAGAATAAATCACTCTCTCCAATTATTTGACTAAATCTAAAATTGACTTTAAGTATTTTTTTCGCAACATTTCACAACGACGTTTCGAGATTAGTTGTAACAATTGTAAAGCGAAAAAACAAGGTCTGATTAAATTTTCAACATACAAGATAAAAATTTTTAGAATTTTTAACATTTAGCGTCAACAATTAATTTCTATTTTTCACTATATTTTACGTTTCATCTTTCTTTTAATTTAAACAAAAACTGCCGCAAAAATTGAAAATTAAATAATAATATTATGTTCCGTACATTTTCAATTTAATTTACGACTATTCCATGCTTGTTACCAACGCCCTTTTAATATATTCATAAATTTATTTTAACAGATATAAAACGATAAAAAAAGATTTGCGCTACGGAGTCAAGAGTTTCCGCCGGTATAAAAAACGAGTCTCTATTCGTAGAGATGTACGAAAGCCTTTGGAATATTCCGGCAAAGGGCGGATACGTAATCTCGCACGTGTGCGCGACAAACGAGCTCCTCCATTATAGTTTATCGTTTCGCGGATCGAAATGGATCAATGGTACAGCACAGTTTCCCAAGTGGTCTTGCCAGCCGAATCGATATCGCGCCGAGTCGGAATCGCTAACGGCAACGTGTATTTTTCTACTTCCGTAGCACCGCCGAGCAAATGTTGACTCGCGCTTGTTTTGAGTTACGTTTCTCCCGCATCGCCTTGCGCGCGATCTTTCAATCGAACAAAGTTCTAATATTATTTAAGCGAAAAAAAAGTTACAGAAGTTCGACTACTCGATGATTTGCGATATTTCTTCGGTTTTTAGCATTAATTAATTTCCGTATCCAAGAGAAATTTATGTCTGACTGCGTCGAAAAGTGATCAATTCAATTTATCAATCGGTATTTCAGTATACTTTCTGATGATATCTGTGTTAGTGAGATATTTTGTCCTAAAAATATTGCGTTTTTCAATCAGTTCTTGTCGTTATTCGTGAAATTGTGGGCAGATAAAGAAAGAGAGAATTTTTTCAAGAAGTACATTGCAGCGTTTCTTTAAGCTTCTAAAAGCATCCGATTCCAATTAAATTCGCCTTTTCAAATTGCGTTTTCAATTTTAACTTGCACACAGCGGCTTTCGTTCGGCTGGATAAAATCACATCGCTCCATTATGGTTTATCGTTTCAGTACTGATGAAATTGCAAGAGTTTCGGTACGTTATTGGTCGCGTGCCATATCGGCCAATGGCACTCACTATTGTTGCGCCCAACTATATACACCACGGATTTTATCATTTCCCCAAACCGCCACGCAAATATGATCCACTTGTATTTTTCTCTACTCCGCTACTTGCATTCTCGCTTATTCTCTCCAAAATGCACGCGTCAGTATGAAATTTCCAGTATGACATTTTATGTAAGCATTTTTTTCAAACGCATTTTTTCACATTTCTGATATTATGCGTTAATAAAAACGCGTGGCCACGACAGCCTTCATTATGATTTAAAATTTGAAAATTAAACGTTGAAATCTATCTGGCTAAAGTGTGCGCTTTTGCCGCACGAGATGACCACGGCATCATAAAATTCACAATTATCATTTTAAGTAAAGGAACAGACGTTTTTGCGAAATCGGAAAGTTTTTCTTCTAATTTACACACCGTGGTAATAATCGAGGCGCAAACGGATCGCGATCCGGAGTATGAAGCCAATCGTGATTCGCAAACTAGTTCCGCAGTCAGCTCCGCCAAGGAATTAATAAGCACCATCGTGGAGCTTCCGAACCTTTTTGTTCGCCATTATCCAAGATAAACGGCAGCCTCTCGGCGCGATGGGGCACTCGACGGGATCGACGGGTGGAAGGGGGTAAAACTTTCGAATCGCTCTTGCGTCGAATGAAATTCTGTGGGGGCAAACGCTTCTTGCTTCGGGGCCGGGCGCGTATTTCGCCGTTTTCTCAGATCACCGAGCAAATGTTGACCCAGTTTCGCCGTCGGATTGGACGTTACTCTGTCTTTCGAAAGTGCTGACTAGAATACGCGATGAGCGTAGAAGTTAGAGGTCGCTATGCCGCGCGGCGCGTCTTTCTTCCGCGCAAGCGAAAAGCTCTTAGAATCGCTGGACCTGGTCCGAAATTTAACGAAAAATATCCACCCGCGGTACCTCTACCATTCGCGGAGGTTTACGCTGATACGCGTACACGCTTATACGAGTTTACGCTTTACGAGCGGCGGGCTTCATTGTGAGATAAAGTTAACTGATGCGGCACTGACATTCTGTTTTTATGGTGCACTCAAATTCACTTGCAATTGAAAGTAGATTTACCATTTCGCTCTCCAAATTAAATTAAATTGATGATATTGCAAAAATGTTGATTTTTATTTATATTGAAATAATAAAAGTTGATTCAAAACCATTTGTTTTCAGGACTGTACAATTTAATACGATGTATCAAATTATGCTATATAAAATTTAATTATATAAATTAAACTTAAACGAGTTAAGCCTCATTTAAATAATTTCTATCAGCGTCCTTCGTATGCCATGAATATACTTTACGAAGTAAAGTCGATAGTACTCTTAAAGGGTTAAAGTAGTCGCTCTCGAGAGAACCGGCCGAGTTGATTCACCTCGTTTCGCGAAGATGCCTCTTATTACGCGTCGCTATACGAGCCTCGACGAAGTTTCCGTAAGTCCGCGCTAAGACACTGACGGGCGAGGTCGTCCTCAACGCGGAGTCACCCGGCCGAATAAAGCCGCGACTGAATGAGATATAACAGGGTACTTACCTACACTGGCGAGACGTGTGCATGTAAACTGGTGGACGGTAAGGTAGATGAATAATGTGACCGAGCACAATGGATACGGCTTAATATAACTTTTTTCGTTCTTCTTTCCTTCGCGCTTCCTCTCTTCTTCCAATTTCGCCAGTGTTATGAGCAAGGAGACGAATACGCAGCGGCGTCTTTCTTGCGATTCGAGTAATTTGAACGCGCATCTGCGCATCAAGTAATAGGATACATCGCGCTTCTCTCGCCCTTCTCTTGATATTTCATGTAACGCGACCAGAGAGAAAAATCTCGGCTTCTCCGAGATAAATTTATTCACAAAAAAATATGCCTGTTTCAAATTTGCACGATGCGATGTTCTTTCTTTTCCTTAGAGACTTTGTAATGTAGAAGAAACGTCGGCGAGAATAACTGCAACCTAAAAAAAAAAAATACTGTGTCACTAGGGCATGAAAATGATAGCAATTAAAATTTTGCGTAAATATTCGTCTTGTAGATAAAAAACAAAAGCTTTTCGCAAAAAAACATTCAACATGGAGTTCGACAAACACGCGCTGCATCTGATCTATACATTTTCCATCGTATTCCGTTTTACGACGGCTATCACTACACCATCGCCGCCGACGATCGCATCTACCGTCGAATACATCGTCACTGATTCCGGCACGACGGAGGAGACGGACGAAGCAGAGATGCCGAAGGTGCCCCTGACCGAGCAGGTTATGGATCCTAACATACGTGTGAGTGACGTGCCCGACGTGGACCCGGAATTGACGGACGTACCGGACTCCAGTCTGGACAGGAACCGGATAATTCGCGACGTCGCGTATTTCATTCGCGCGCACAAGTTCCACGATTACGATCGTCGGTACCACAAGAGCGCCGAGGAGGCCACGAACAGGCTGTACGAGGAGTTCCCGAGCCCCGGTCTGAGATCTCTGCACTGGGAGGTGCGCAAGCACTGCGACGCGAGCTTTGTCGAGTGCCTGAAGTATCTCGAAGGGATCATTAAGCTCACGGCGCTCAGGCGCGAGGACGACACCGTCACGGTCATGAGGGAGCAAAAGTGGAGTCCGGCGAATAATAGTGAGCAAATCCTGGCCGCTCAAAGGGACTGCCAGATGGCCCAAAGGCACGACAATCTCACGATGGTTCCCTTTCAAGGTCCAATCGGCAAGTGCATCAATTCGTTAATCGGCAGCCCTAATCACACTGAGACATTAAGTGCAATTTATACCTGCCGGTGGCGAAATCCTCTTCCAATTAAGTAATCAAACTACACGGTAAAGAGATTTCACTGCGTTACTCAATTAAATAAATTTAGGTCAGCTGTTCACGTATGTAATTCGGTTTTCAACGTTACGAAATGTAAAGACTAGTGGGATATATCTTGAACATTTTCATATTAATTCGGCGCGCAGTCGAGCTTTCGTGAAAAATTAAAGTGGCTTTAATTTGAAAGCGATTAACAAAGAATAAAAGTCCAGTAGCGGGAAAGTAAATGTTTAATTCCAACACAAATCGGCAAATTGATAGATCGGTATTATTTTAGCCGCAGAAGATCGTGTCGGATAAATATCATGTATTTTCAGAACGCTTTCAATGGCGCACCACCGTGAGTTACTATATGTGCTGGTACACGATGCTGGGCATCGCAGATTTAGCCACCTTCGGCGAACCCTGCGACAATCACGCCAACTGTCTAGATGAATATGGCGTTCATAACAAGGATCCACGAGCGGACGACACGAAACCGTACGCTTGCGCCCTGTACAGTTTCTGCCCGGACCATTGTTGCCCCATGAAGCACATCTGGTACATGAAAGACTGTTTTCAGTCGCAACGCAATCCATGCTACGCTGAGAATCAACCAGGTGCGTAGATTTGCGCCTGCTACCTGTGTGCCGCGCAAGAGCCGGCCTTATTTATATTTTCTAGCACGGCGGCCGGGTTAATTTCACATAACGCGCGGTGGTCGTGTCGCTTTATTACATCGATAAAAATGCTGCTGCCGCGCGGTGGGCGTGCCACTCCTGGCACTAGCGATACCAGGCGACGATATATTCTCACCATGTATTTTTTAAACACCGTTTGTGTACACTCGATTCTCATTAAAAAAAATTAATAATAATTGACGCGAAGAATCAAGCGAACGCTTACAACATTCGATAATTTTTTATCGATTCGCTAGATTTTATCGTATTATTCTACACAATTAATATTTAAATGGATAATTCAAAACTGTGCTGCTGTCAACTATGCTCTAAAGTCGCGTGGTCGCTTTACGCAGACGAGATTTTTGTTTTGTCCGCAACAGACATAACAAACTAGTATCCGTTTAACCACAGTCGAGCTTTGTACGCTCGTTTGCATTCTGTGCGCCACGCGCGCAATTAGCCGACCCTTGAAATCTTTTCCCTCTCAGACCAACCGTCACGTCACGTTTGCAGCGCATCGAAAGTGCACACTGAACCGGAACGAAAATCGCGACTTCCAGGCGTTAAAGGCGAATCGGATGAATGTGAGCTGCGAATGCCATCAGCCTGGATACGAGTGGTCCTCCAGGTTTGGGCTATGCGTCGACGTGAACGAGTGCATCCGCAGCATGCACAATTGCACGTTGGACGCTGGCGAGAGTTGCCTAAACCTGCCCGGTCATTACGCCTGCATCTGTCGGCTCGGATACGTCTACAATCCGGAAATGAAACGGTGTATTCACAGTCCGGAGATAGACAGAGCGCTGAAAGGGGACGCGGACGAACCAAAGACCGCGAAAATGATAGGTCTATTTGCCAAGGTGGTCCAAACAATTACCAGATCTGCCGGAAATAGCTTTATGTATGACCGTAGGATTAACTTTCCATTCATGTTAATCGTATTAATGTACATATGAAAAGTGTCGTATAATGCTACAGAATTTTATCCTCTTTTTAGTTTGATCTATCAACTTTAATCGATTGCATTATATATTCCTCGTTCTAATATTGTCATAAAAACAATGCGCTTGAAAGAATCTTGAATACTCCGGCGCGTGATAAATAATTATATATCCATTTGTAATAATAAGCTTACTTAAAGACGCAAATGCGTCATTGATGTTAGTACAAGATTAATAAACGTCTGTTTTCTAACAAAAAAAATTTTCTTACATAGATAAATACTGTAAAGTAATGTTCTAAACACATCTAAATTGCTTATTGTATAGATTCTAAGAAATCGCAATGCGATAACAAACATAATCGATCATTATAAATTAAAAGCATGTTTTTTGTATGATTTATTGAAACGCAATATAAACTTGTAAATATGTGCTATCAAATGTACATATGTGATAAGAAACGTAATAAACGTACAAGCAACATATTACATAAAATATAAATCTGGACTACATATGTGTAGTAATTGCAGCAAATTTCTATCTCGTTTCGTCGATAATCTCTGAAAAGCACGCTACCATGCCGCTGAAAGATTAATTAATTACTACCATGTATGCGCTGCACGAGATAGTTATATTTAACCGTTGAGTCTTGCGTTATTATATGCAGAATATTATTTTTGTGCTAATTAAGAAGTTGGAAATTAATGTGATGCTGCAATATCGCGATGATTCGTATGATAATACATTTCAATTGATGGAAACAATCTACAACGATATTACGATCGTTGTCTTATTTAATGAAATTAGTGCATAAATTGCGAATAGCTCGTCGACAACCTTATTGTAGTTTCTATTACCGGATTAACATGGGCGCGCTACGAGAACGGTCGTTTAATAACAACATGCACGATAATCTGCATCAGCAGTATAAATGCGATATTAGCGTTTAGAAATATCCGGCTACTTAGGATGCGCCGCAACGTAGAAATTTGTACTCGTAACAATTCAAATTTTAATCTTGCCCGCGTAATAGCGCGATTCCGTGTATTTCGTACGCTATCACAAACGGCTCCTCTTAACGGTTATTTGCTCGGCTAAGGGAAAAACAATGCGCTCGAGTGTGCCGCATCCCGTGCTTAGTGTAAGCGAAGAATGAGCCCAGCCGAGACTGAAAACTCGGGGAAAACATCCGGCGAGAATTCTTAAAGATGTTAAAACTCGCGGAACAGCAATTACCCTTTGCATTAACACTTCTGACCGACTTCTAACTTTATTAAAGTCTTTTTTTAAATTGTAACCGTAGCCTTACAGACAGCACTAAAGAATAAATAATAATAAAAAATTATTAATAAATAATAATCGGGAATTCATGTTTTTCCAAATTACTGAATATTTGTTTGGATGTGACATACGAATGCTTAAAATTCTCTTTCAAAATCAAATAATAAAAACCGATGTCCGCTTTCGCGCACATATTAATATTACGAGGTTTTATTTTCCACCGTATTTTTACAAAAATATTCCATCATTGTCAATTGCAATAAAAATAAATCCATTAGTTTATTAGACAGGCAGATGAATTAATTTACGTGGCGTTAATAGAACAGTTAAGCAACATATCCCTGGAGCCGGCGTGTTTTGCATGGCCTATCCCCGCGCGTGTGTACGTGTACGCGACACGTACAATCCAATTTTTGCGATACGCGCATCTGAAACGAAGTGAGTGACATGCGTTACGTGCTGCTTGATCGTTTCCGCTATTGCGAAATTCTGTGACATGAAAAAAATATCGTCGACGCGGAGAAATCTGTGCATGTGCGACACATGTGCGTGGAACGCATCCAAGTCGGATGATGAAAAAAAAAAACAAAAACATATAGATAGATAGATCGGGCGAAGCCCGGCGAGAGAGCGGCGATGCTGTTTTATTCATCGACGCGTTCAAATCGCAGGACCGTCACGTCTCCTTCGCCAAAGGAACTCCCGCTGCCGTGTAATACATAAATGCATAAAGCACGGTTTTCCTTATTTCCGACGTATAATGTCATTCGGTAAGGTATGATCGTCCGGTAATCGTTTATTTCGATTTATTGGAAAGATCGATGACTGTGTCCGTTAAGAAGCGATTGCCTTTACGTATGCGGATTGTATAAGCGAAAGATTATGACGCAGTGCAGATGCGTATAGATGGTTAAACTATGGCACGTTCGCGCTACCAGTCACATTCTTTCCTGTCTCGCCAGATAAAATGCGTCGGCAAAGGATTAGGTGAAAACAGACTGCCGCGAGTTTACATAACTGGCAACCGATCCGACGATCGTGATATCACGAATACTTTCGTACGATCTCGATTCTCGTTACGCAACGTCACGCTAAACCGGTTCTATCTTCGCGCGTGCATGACATGGTTGTGCACTCTCCTTGGTCATATTTTACATTTTACAAGCGTAATTTCTAATTTAACCGTAATTCTGAATCAGACTTTCAAAAATTATCCAAGTATTCGTTGCATTTGCTTTCTACATATGCATGTCGCAATGAAATGTATCAATATACGTGTGCCAATGCTTTGTAATTTAAAAAAATATAAAAACGAAATAATTATAACTCTGTGACTTGGAAATAGACGAGAAAAATATTATACGTAGAGACATAAAACATTGATCCTTTTTATATCATGCATATTAACAATATGATGGATAATGGAATTGTAGCGGAGATAATATCGGGCGGTCTGCTCACCTCATCAGAAAAAGTAATTAACGCGAGAGACCGTTTGCGCTCCGCACGCACAGTATCATTACACATATTACCGTTATTGACCGGTTTTTATGACGCCCAGCCGCGCCATCGTTGAAAAGAGAGCTGGCGGGTTTTCATCCGCGTGTAAAACCACGGTTTGCTTCAAATTGGGCTTGATTTTTTATTCGTAAACAGCAAACCATCGGGCGCGCTTCGTCGGATCCGGGCTTTGAAAACAACAGCGCGCGCGGACAGGCGGTGTATGAAACGAAACATGCGCCGAAAAAAATGCACATATTCATACATGGAAATGCTGCGGCGGGGAAAGAGCGGGACCGGGCGCGGCGCGGCCCGGTGTTACAGGGAAATCGCGCGTCGAATAGCCGGACGCGTCAAAAACCGGAATATTTCCTGCACCGCAGCTATTTGCGCCAATTGACCATCGTAACATCAATTTTGGGCTTCAAATCACGTTAGCGGGATGCATCATTTCGCCACCGAACGTATGGTCGACGTTATGAATGCCTTCATCTAAATAAATATTTTCAGAATAAACGCATCTAAATATTAGTTTGTAACGTTATTGTATCTGCGCAGTTTTTTTTATGAGTAGTTTTAACGTATTTTCGCACAAATATCTGGACATGATGCGTTTGTTCTGAAAATGCTTATTTAGGAGTAATAAAAATATTTGCGACACGACCCGTTAAATCGCCAATGGAAATGCACTTTGTTTTATGCCCGACGATGTCGATTATTGTTTGTCACGAATCGAAATAATATACTATATGGAACTACATGTTTATAAACCCCAAAATAAATGCAACAGTTTAGATGCAATGATGTGCAAAGCAGTGAAGTGCTCGACCACATTCGAAGCCACAGATTTTATGGTAATTCGAAACCCACGTAACTGGCAATCCTGGTAAACGTAGCTGTAGCAAACGTAGTTGCCGTCACTCTCATTTACATCAAGACAGCTGCGACGTCGATGAAGCGACGTCCTTGCGCTACCTTGCCAATTCGATCCCTTTGTCCGGGTTGATTATCCTACTTGCAACAACAGACGCGTCTCATCAAAGCAAATCGACATTCTGCGACACGATCTAATTGCCATAATCTGGTTTTATTCCTCAATGCGTAATTTGCAGACACGTTAAAAGGTTAACATTTACTAATGTAATTCACAAATTATTTTAATAAAACTAATTTTTTCGTAAATTTACAAAAAACAATTACAATATTAAAAAATTAAAATTACGCGAATTAATGTACAATTTTTTGTGCTGTTAATGCAAAATTAAAAATGTTTAAAATATTACAGAAATATTTTACGATGAAGAAAATCAACTCTAAAGACAAGTATTTAAATCTAAACGAGACTTTTGCTTACATAATATATAAAAAATTCGAAGATTTTATCAGAAAAAGAACTCTGAAAAAGAATATCTGTAAACAAAATTTCACTTTCAAATATTATGCATTAAACGCGTCTTAAAATATATTTCAAATATTCATACGGGATAAGAAATAATTATTTCTCATGCGTTTGCTCTAAAAAAATATCTGTTTAAAAAAAGTGAAAATATAATTAATAAGCATTATTATTATCTTTCTGGTATTATTATTTATAATATTCCGCGGAACCTGTTTAATGTACAAGGCCGCTGAAATTACCTTGCTTATAATAATAGTTATAATAACTTATAATAACAGTTTCCGAATAGTGCGTATCTAACTTGTAGATCATTGAGGCCAGAGTACAAACGTCTTCTTTCCTCTACAACACCCGAAGGTGTGACCGGTGTGCACCAAGCGGAATATTACCCCAGCGCCACATTCACTCGCCGCAGTGTCGGAGCGGCTATCTTTTGCGATTCGGCTGCAGTCATCGAGAATGTCTCTGTGCGAGTGGTACGCGGATCGCGCGGTACTCCTCACGGGAGTCACCAGCGAATTGGGACGTGCACTGCTGGAGAAGATCTTACGGCACCTGCCGCACGTCACGGTATACGTCGTTCTCAGATCCCGAAACGGTCTCAGCAAGGAGGATCGACTGAAGAAGATATTCGCATCGCCTGGGTACGAACATATCCTCCTTGTGCTCCTCTTCGCGTCCACTTCGTGCCTGTAAATCGCGCCGGTCGCTCGATATCGCTTTTGTGAGCGTTAAATTGTGACCGCGATTCCGGTCGGGGGCGTGCGCCGAATTTATTTCCGAGGACGTCGAACCAAAAAGGTTCTTTCTCTCTCTCTCTCTTTCTCCCTCCCTCTCCCCCCGATGGTTCTCCGCGGGAATTCCGGGAACGTGGCGCACCTTACGTCGAGAATCGACTGTGGAATTAAATTTTCGCTCGGCGAATGCTCAGCCACCGCGACAGGTAGAATGGCACACTTTGAAAATTTTTCCGAAAAAAGAGGTTGTTATTTGAATCCTATTTACATAACCATATAAAGCTATTATGACGGTATTATATGACATGGAAAATTTCTATCGATTCGTTATTTGTTGACAAAGCGTATAATACCATGCGAATTTAATTCTGCGTCAATTTCATGTAATATAACGTACGCGCTATTTGTCATCCTATCCGATATTTAAAAATATAAATTACCGAAAATCCGAATAAAGCGGTTTCAAATCTCCCAATGTGATTTTTACAATTTCACAATTTAAATATTCTGTTTAAAATTTATCACTTTATAATGATAAAACGGAAACTTATCGTATGCTATATTTGTCATTCGAAAAAACAGTGGCGAAATCCGAATAGGACTGCGGTCGCATTTCGATCGCTCATCAAAATCGCACTACAATAATGATGCAATCAAGATCGCGAAAGCAAGATACGATCGAACGCGTTTATACGGACGCATAAACCTGATTGCCTCGTTACATGCTCGTCCATCGTAACGATCGTCCGCTGCAAGATGCACGCGAGGTGAAATTCAGCGCCTGTACTAGCGTCGTGCGACCCTCCCCTCCCCGGGAAGAGGGCGGCTAAAGCTCTCGGGAAGAGATTTATTTTCATTAGTACACGCCTCCGCACTCTCTTTAGAAAGATTATGAAGTATACGCCGGCGCGGCACACTTTCTTTCTCTTTCCTTCCACCGTCGTCGCGAAATCCGCGACCGCGCGGAAAATTCGTCCGCGCGTTTTGAATTTCGCGAAATTAAAATCCGCGAAAGGATTGTCTTCTCTCGGGAAATCGTAGTTACTGCCGGATCGCTGCGTTTTTGCGCGTGAAAAAGAGGATCGCCCCGCGCGTAAATGAGAAAATGCAAATGGACGAGCACAGCTCGGGCGTTCAAGGTGCAACCACTTCGACGCTATTACGTTCGGGGAAATCGCTTTCGGGCTGCGAAGCGGTTTGCCGGATTTTCCTCGCCTTATTTACGGCTCCCAGATCGTTTCGTTTAAAATAGTTACGGCGCTGATTGCATAAATCTCCGCGACGGGGCGCTTGCATGCAACATCAAGATATTATGCTGCATTCGCATTTTTTGACCTTTCGAAAATGACCAATGCGTAGAAGCGAATATTTTAGAAATTGCGAAATCTGCATATTTTAGAAATGTTTTGAAGAAACATCGAACTTGAGGGGAGGAATATTAATTACAATACACATACAAATGTGTCTCGACAAAGAGATATAAAGTTCATGTTGTTCTTTCTTCACGGTGATTAATATTAATTACCGTGTCATCATTCGTTCTTAGTTTCTCTCGCGTCGTGCATCTTAATTTTTGCTAATGTCATACATTACGGCGACAAACTGAAGAATGCGACTCCGCGTAATACGAATCTGCAGCTCGCCGGCAGACTGCTTTACATTTTTAACGGCGTCCGCGCTTCGCGCTCTCTTTTCACGACGCGATGCATCTCCATTCTGACGGCGCGTTCTGGCAGTAAATTCCAAAGCCGATTTGCGTCACGAACGTTATTATCGCTCGGCAGGTACGAGCGACTGAGGCAGGAGGCTCCGGACGCGATCTCGCGCGTGAAAACGTTCGAGGGCAATCTGCTTTGCGAGAATCTCGACCTAAACGCCGAGGACAAAGCCTCGTTGAAGGGAATCAGCGTGGCCTTTCATGCCGGCGGGCCGTACGATGCTGTCCTGGAATATTGTCAGGATTTACCGGGGCTCAGGAGCGTCGCCGTGGCGTCTAATATTTTCAAGTTCCGCGGTAAGATAGCCGAAACCACACAGAACGAGAAGCTCCCCGCCGATTTACCCATCGCTCTGGTGCGCTTCCCTCTCATCGGACCGGCCCACAAGGAGCCCATGCCCGGTTTCGTCGAGATATTCAAAGGACCAACTGCCCTCATGGTCGGCGCAGGACACGCGTACGGCGATTCGTCGTTGCAGGCCGAAGTCATTCCAATAGACATAGCGGTAAACACGATGATCGCAGCCGCATGGGAAGTCGGCATGTACGTATAAAATATAAATCGGATTACTTACTAATTACTTTATATGTAACTTTAGATTAATTTTCTTTTTCTTGTTAGTGTCTTAAATCCCACGTTCAATATATCTTATTTGTCTATTTATCTTCAATTAAAAATAATAATATTAAAGAAGGATATCAATCTAATCACTCGACTTTAAAGTGTTTTTGATTCTCGTTGCCGCGAACTTTTGATCATCTTCGCATTAATCAAACTTAACACTCAACACATTATGATAACTTAATTTTTTTTACTAAAAGCGATTTATCACGATAATAATAATCATTTTACGTAAGAATCATCAAGGGGCGCTTATGTATTGTGCGCGTTTAATGTTAAATTATTATGGAAGGAGAAAGTCAACCGGCGTTAAAGGCGCGCAATACGTGTATGGCATTATGCAATATTACAAAACAGCAATAATCAACGTCTATCTAATTACGAAATATGAAACAGAATGTAACAATGTCGTTCTATGTTCTCGCAAATGTATATTGCGCAACCAGCCTTTTCTTCCGCTCTCAAAACATGTTTTTGCTCATTTTAGAAAGTAATTATTAGTATTTGTGTCTCGATAAAGCCTCGCTCGATAAGAGGAAAACTACTCGTTGCTATTTCACAAGAAAATATCAGGAGCAATATGAAGCGCGAATAAAAAAGTGTATTGTAAAATAAAAAAAACGAATATAATTAATAGTGTCGACAGTCCTGCCTGCCTGTCTTTACCGGAAACAAAGAGTATAAAATTGGACGAATTTGCAAAAAACGTGAAAATCCGTGGAAAATCCTATACATGAATTCGACAATTTATCGATTTATGGATTTGTGGAAAGCGGTTAGCTTTTTTTTTTTTATTAAAAAAGTAAAACTATTTAGAGAAAAAGAAAGAGACAAAAGTTTTTCTCGCTATCCGTTGCATTTTTTAACATATCGCAATCGAAATTCGTTGCAGACGCGGCTTATCTAGTTTTCCAATGCGAAATATTGGATACGAGCAAACACGTTTTACATGTGCGCGTCGTTTCCGCGGTTGTTACTGTTTGCTCGCATCCGACGCTTCCGCCCCAATTGTCTAAAACGGAATTCGTTCCCTTCAGTTTTTATTCGAGATTCACCCCGCAATTCTCTGAAAGCATGACTGGTTCTGTCTTCACAATATCATATAAGTTAGTTTTCTCATGGTGAAAAAAAACTAAGAAATATTTTCAGCTGTAATACAGTTACGTGTATACAATCGTCAATCAATAATGCAAATTGGCATTCAGTATTTTGGTAAAACAAAGCAGTCGATCCTTTTGAGCAATTTAGATTGTTAAAATAATTATAGCTAACAATGTGTGCTGCTTTTTGTATATTAGAAATATAACATATTAATTTTATTTTATACGCGTTCTAATTTTGCGAGAGAGTTGCATTGTTACATGAATCCATGTGATTATTCGCTTCGATTTCCACAGCTGACGTTTCATTAATCCTTGATGTTAATACCGGGATTAATTGTAGATATAATTATAACGTGACGTAGCGTTAAAATCAGGCCATATTCTGCTTAAGCCGAAGCATTTTATTTAAATTGAATCCGATCGAACGAAAGTTTCAACTCGGCTGCCGGGTTTTAGACACTTCCGACCAAGAGCTTTGCATTTCTCGTTGATTTTCAAATAAGAGCACCTTTTCGGCTGGCGTGAGTTGTATTTACGACTTTTGTAGAGAGTACAGCGGCAGTGCGGTTTGCGGCTGAGAAGAAAACGATTATTGAAGTTCGTGTGCGCGAGTCGGTAATTGAAATCGATAGTCAAATTGCGCACCTCGCTCGACAGGTGCATAGTTAAGTTATATTAGATGGGTTTACCAAAGGAGCGTCGACGCTTGGCTCGCACGAAGCGTGAAATAAAAATTGAAATCAATATCGCGGCGTGAACGCAGACGCGCGTGTTGATTCGCGAGAAAATTGATTTCCTCGTTATCGATGAGACTTTCTTTCCAACTTTATTTTGCGCTACGTTTTAATTAGGCGAAACGCACACAGCGAGAATCAAGCCAGGCTTTTTAAATTGCAAGTCTTATTTAGGTCATCAAACAACGAACCAATCGAATGAAAATTATAACCTGGCTTCTTCGGGCTTTTCCTGAAAGTCTTACGTTTGAATACTAGTTTGAATCAGGAGCACCTCCTCGTTTCGCTCTGAAGTATTTCGGAACTGCGAATAAGTTGATTGCGTTTTCCTTACAAGAAGCGAAGTGCACTACATTCACCTCTCTCGTGCTTCTCTTTTCGCTTTTACCGATTACCCTCGCATTTGAGAGAAGTTACTAACCAGAAATACGATTAATTATTAGTAGTCGTTAGAAGTAGCTTTATAAGGAAGCGAAGCCCTAAGGCGCTGCGCGCTTATAAGTTCCGTAATAATAAAACATTTAGCGTATTTAAATGATCAGAAATCAGATGATAAACCTTTGCTCGCAAAATTCGAATCCCTAAGCGAATTTCGCAGCGTAATTTTTTCTTTTCATCGCACGATTTTCGATCGTTTGCATTCGTTAAACGATTTATTATTCGAGAATTTATAAAGGTGCGATAGTTCGAATTTTTTACAACGAATATAAAACTCACAAGTATTAAATGCAAATGCGCATATACACGTAAGTTATTGCGCGACTATAAATAAAATGAAACGCGCTACATTTAGCCGCAAATAGTACGATTAATTATCGCATGATGTAACGACTACATTGCCGGGTGTGCGGCATCGTGTTTTCTCATGCGTTCCACCGTTTGCGCACAGGTCCAACGCTGCGAAACCAGTGGTCTACAATGCGGCGACGTTGGACTGCACGTGGGAAGAGTTGATTAAAAAGAGCAGACGGGCTAACTGGACCTTTCCCTATCCGAGCTTCGGCATCCGCGGAATGACGTCCAACGCCCTGCTATGCTGGATTCTCGTGCTTGTTCTTCGAATGGTTACCATCCGTACTTAGCGACATCGCCCTAGCTCTGTGCGGCAGGAAACAGAGGTACCACGAGCGTGAAATTTATCGCGAAATTCCACGAGTCGCGAATTTATCGTCATAGTTCCGTCAATGTCTCCGTTTGCGCGGTCTTCTCTCGGAAGATTTAGCGCGGTCATTTTCATCATTAATGTCGCGCTAACTTTGTTATAAAAATATGGCAAGCGTCGCGATTGTTCTTCTCCGTTATCTCGTTCATCGCTGTTTTTTATTTATTGTTATTGCAAATATGATACATAGATTGACTCGCGAAGTTATAAATAAATGTTACGTCTTGACTCTTGCACTATATATACTTTACATTAGATGCTTGATCTGAAGAAGAGGCCGCGGATAAGGTATATGCTTGTACCAGAGTATTGTCTAACATAAGTTTGAAGTTGGTTTCACAGCGCTCCTCTGCAACAGCTGGCAATATTAAATTTGCTCGCGATATTAAGTTGTTTGGAGAACGCAACGCTATTATAAAGCCACTAAGTCATTTTCTAAGAGCGTAGCATTACACTGCTTCATATTACGGTTCAATTTACAAATTATGGAATCCGATAAAAAAATGTGACGTAAAATAAAAACTGTGCTTTATCTTTCGCAAATATTCGATGCGACGCAGATTTCGTGCAATTTTATCTATCTCTGTTTCTAAGTGATACGTCACGATTCTACCTTTTAACAAAGTTCGTGCGGTATCTGCAATTTCTACACGTTTCATCGTTCAGTATCACGACAACTATAAATCCGTGATATCGCGGAACGATCACTGCCAGTAGTAAACCTCGATGCGCATCGGAGATAATCCTTCGCTGCGTTCGGGAGCGTTAAGAAACGATTAAAGCCGTTCAAACATGAAGCCTCAAACTTCGCCGATAACTACTCTCGCGATCACGGATAAGTTTCGACGAGGAGACTCGCGTGAAAGTTTGATCGCGATCGCGACCGATTGTACTTGGTCTCTTCGACTTTCCGCATTGTGAAAGGCCCCCTACACTCCGCATTGTGAAAGTCGCCGTATACTCTCGATTAACGCGGTGCAGCAAATCGTAAAAGTAAAAGTTGCTAAAACTGCGATTTAGGCACAAGCCGCGTAAACAGGTTTGTTGGCCTCGGTCGTGCGCGAGTGAGCGTCGAGAAAGGCAGAATTGTGTCTCGTACGGTAAAACTTATTTTTCCGATCGCGAAAGTTGCGTCACTCGGTGCCTGATTGCTTTGAAAAATGAGGACCGATGCTGCGGTCGCGACGAGAAAACTTTCGGGAAATCCTGACGGGCTATCCCATCGAAATTCGTTTTTACGCGCTCTCAGAGGGCGTCCGTGCGTATCGATTTGCTATTTACAACGGTCGACCGGCATTCGCGATTATTTTCGACGAACTTTTCACCGAAAAGGTGACCATCGAATAACTTTTCAACAAACTTTCACTAAACGTATCGTAGTCTCAAATAAATAATTGTCGATCTTGCCATTTACACGGTTTAACGCGCTACAAAAAAGAAAAGAGGAACACGTGACTCGTTATAGAAATTGATTCGTGGATTGAACGAAAATATTTTTGCTTCCGGCCTGCCAAATACTTTTCTGATTTTTTCAATTGCTCTCAAACGCAGAGTAAATCTTGCGCGCTAACTTAGCTCGGGCTTTCTTCCACAAAAGGAAACTCTGCCATCAAGTTTGTCGCGATTCCTTCGTAATAACTTGGATTGGAAATTATATAGTTTGCGATGCCCGGAGGAAGTTTTTTTATTATCCCGCTCGCGCTTAATGGTACTTGGTGATCTTTTTTTTCAACTGCGATTTAATCGGCCATTTGAAAATCAATGTCGAGAGCGTCTTCCTTCTATCGCGTGTGCGCCTTCATGTATTTGAGAAAATTCAATCTTATCTAAATATTCGAAAAAATTCTTATACTGCAGAAAAGAAATAAAAAGCAGATGCGAATAATCGGAATCACGTCGGAAGTTCAAGTGCCGAGAGGATCGGGCGAGACGGATATTAATGGCAGGAAGAAGCGAAAAAAAACCAATCGGTCCGGGAGGTAAAATCTTTACTGCTTTCCAGGTTTCTCGCGGAATACGACAAAGTTCGTAATGCACTTCTATCCCTGAAGTCAATTTCATCGAGGTCGTGGTCAACGGAGAGGAATCGCGTGTACTTACTACAGAAACGCCTCACGGCAAAGGAACAAGACGCATTTCCGGTCATCGTAGAGATGGACATCGAGGCTTACGTCCTCTGCGTCGCAGCCGCCACCCAGAAACACTGCGTGAACGAGGACATTCTCACACTCACGAAGACTATTCGTCTCTTCTTCTTAATCGCGCCCGCAGTTCTCGTCTTCGCGTACATCGCGTTTTTCAATTCTCACACGCGTAAAGTTAGATAATAGATAAAACTGTTGTATAAATATCGTTTTGTACAGAAAATCCCCAAGTTTTCTCTCCGCAAGAAGCCATACCGTGGCTTTGCGACATCTTTATAATGTAAACAGATATTTTTAAGATTAATATATAAATTGTACAAGTATTCGTTGCGTATGCTACCGTGTATAGTTTCATTAGACTAAATTTGCACAAGTTGTAATTTTATTTCTCAGACTTTAATCATGTTCAATCAATTAACGGTGTGTCAATAGTATTAATGGCAGCACAGAATTCTATTACAAGTTATTTTAACGCGAGGTCTCTTCAGTCATAAAGAAAGTCGAAGAATCTTGACTGTTCGTAAGGTCAATTCCGGGGGCACACTCGGTCGGAATTGTGTGTTGCGCTTCGCAAATATTCGTGAGAGTCGTGCGAGGCGTCTACACGAGAAAATGCTGTTCGGGTGAAAGTTTCCAGGCGAACATCCACTCGCTTTGGCGCGCACGGCAGTATCAACGAAGGCATATTTCCAGCACGTTCTCTCTTATGCAATACCGCTGCGCCGACTTGCACTCATTTTGCCCATCGAAGAAAAGTATATACAAGGAATATAAGGAAAATGGGGAATATTATTTGCAGATTTTGTATGTTTTCTCTTGAGAAACAGGAAACGTGAAATTCTCGCAAAAGCGTCTCGATGCGCAATACAGGAATTACCGAAATTGCTTTGCATCGAGATCAGATGTAAGAACGCGACGCACGATAGTACACGATGATATTTTTACATTTGTTTCTAGAGCAATGACAAAACGCATAAAGACGAAATATTTTTTATCATTTATAGATTGCTATTTCCATTTATATTTTTAGATGGAAAGAATATACATTTTATATGATGGACTGCTATTAAACGAATAAAAAATTAAAATAATATATTCTATAAAATAGTATATTCATAACATTCATATTATATTCATAACATAAAATATTTTACCGCGAAACTATTTTCTCTCCATATCACTGTTATCCGTTCTATATGCATTTGAGCTGGGTGGTATAGTGTGCAAAATTTATATTAATGCATTAAAAACTCTCGTATAATTCAAACTCCTTGTTATTTTTAAATTCATGCAAATTACTGTCTAAATCTCTTTATCATTTTTGCAGTAGTTACACAATCAGACCAATGACGTCTCTCTCACCACGGAATATTCTCATCAGTACATAGCGTACGCCGTCCCATTTTTTTCCCCCGTTATTCGTTGTCAGCAAAAATTTCGTTCGCGTGACTAGCCCGTGGGAGCATGAGCCGAGTTATGCTTTCAAAATCCTATTACGAGTTGCGAGCGTGAAATTTAGCAAAGAAAGTTGCGGATTAGTTTCGCGGGATATAATTGGACGTGGTGGGTGGAACTGTGCCTTCATAATAATAATTGGGAACGTCTATTTCGCGAAACAAAGTTCCTCGCTCGGCGAGGGGCCGAGGTTGAGAAGCTAAAAAAGAGGTTAAAGACTGTTGGATGAGGAGAACGTAGGTAAAGGTAAAAATAGAAGAAGAGAGGAGGAGGAGGAAGAAAGGGGGGGGAAGGAAGTGCAGTGAAAAGAACGTGGGGCGGGTGTACGTATTCAATTTAACTCTAACAGGTATGAATAAGATGTACATATCTAGATAAATATGTATGTGATTGCCTCTCTGCAAAAGTGAGTTATGCCGGCGTGCCTGGAACGATAGAATAGCACGTCGAGGAAAGAACATCAAAGCGCCCTTTGTAAATCCGTTCAACGTTTCTTATTCCCGCAGAACCGCCTCTGCAAAAATCCGCAACTGCTAAATATAGATAAAAACAGTTTCTTGTAACAGCGTTGATAAATACACGCAAAAAAAAAACATTGCGATAAACTGATAGCAGTTTTATCTATATTATATTTTCATTAATTCTATCATATATTTTTTCAAAAATCTATCGCTCATATTTTTATATTAAAATTTAGAATTAAAGCAACTTGTTTGAGTTATATCACTTGCTTCACATTTTATTCAGTATTTTATATGTTTTAAAGTTTCATAATTGTGAGGGACCTATTTGTGTGATCTCGTTTTACAAATATTATAACCAATCAAAGAATTATTTAATATATCGTTTAACATCGCGCACATCAAATTTGCCAGTACTTTTAAACTTTCTAGTGGCTCTCTGTCTCTTGTCAGGTTTGCCATGGCGCCGCGAAACCAAGCGAACTGCAAGAATTATCATAACTCGACAGTCTTGAGAAACGAGAGTCTCTCTTTCCGGCGAGCGCTTCGCCATTTCGAGATTATTTACCCCAAAGGTCTGTAAAGTTTTCTAACAGCTGTTGCTGGGCAAGTCCCACCCTCTTTCTCGATCTTATTTCGCCTTCACCTGCTGCGCGAGCTAGAACAGATATCTTTCTTGCTCGCAGAAGTACTTGAAACTCTCAAGCGGCAGTTACCCAATGTGTTTCTGCACCGCGCGCCCGAATTCCCCGCCAGAAATTTCAACGAAAACTGAAAAGTCGTATTTCTTATGCGTGAACGCGTAATGAGGCGAGATTGAAATAAACGGAAGTTTTGGCCACACAATGGTACCTATTCTTCTTCAAGATTATGCAGACTAATAATAATAATAATTTTCTACGCGCCATAATATAATCGCCAGCTTTTTCTCAATATTGCACAATTCGTACAATATCTTTTCTAATGGATATACTAATTTTTATGTATATAAAATAGTCAGAAGATATTTTTGGACGATAACGTAAATTAATTAATTAACTGTTAATTATGGTTTATCATATCAAGAATATTTTACTGTATATGTGTGTGTAAATATTTGAGTTAATATAATTGTTTTTTTTTTAATGTTTCTTGAGTCCATCGATTAATCAAAATTAGGGAAGCGTTGACAAATGTATCGCGTAAAAATTATATTTAGCGAACACGCTACATGACGGACGTGTGCTCGAGCGGCGGGCGTCATCAGCGCAAGAGATATTACAGTAATAAACGTAGAGCGCACCTTCTTGGTCCGATTGTGCCGCACGAGATTAATTGCAGCCATTCTATTTCCTTGGTAATGTCGGGGCTCGCAAGCTCGACCGCGACGGACGGACACAATGGTTGTGCGTGGCTCCAGGATCAAGTAGAATAAGGAGAACGTTGGTCCGGCGCGGCGTGGCATTATTTTCCTCCTCCATCCAATTAATGGCGGTATTTGTAGGTCGCACGCGACGCGACTTAACCGTCCGCGACAAAATAAAATGCTCGTGTGGATGGAAAAGACTTGTCGCGGAGTCGTGGCAACGGCGGAAGCCGCGTGCCATCGTGAGTCGTTCCCTACGATCCGCTCTTGCCGGCCCTTGGCACATTTCCTTCACTCACAAAACTACCTCTCGACTATTGTACTTCTTAAAACCCCGACAATAACGGCGACTATCCGGTGGCTTTTCGAGGAGTTTTATCGCGGAAGCGTATAATGCGCGTGGACGAAACGACCGTCCGCAACGAATGCCACGTACATTTTGTGTGTAGAACTGCCGCCGCGGATACACAACGATATCCAAAATTGCTGATCTTCCGGCTAATGCAACGTTCCATGACAATCTGACCATTTTTCCAGCAGCAGAACGTAAGAATGGAGAAGGATTTTCTCAAAATCTTCGTTCACTCTGATACCACGAGAAAAGAAGATTTGGCTTGTCAATGTTGCCGAAAACCTTTATATTAACATTAAAAATAGACTTGATAGAAAATAATAGTTATATCACAAGCTTAAGCTTAAGCACATCGTTAATTGTAACAAATTAGTAAATTAATAATTAAAAAAATGAATAGAAATAAATTTGTGATGAACAATTATATCAATTATTTCGCGGCTACAAAAAGGTACACGAAAAGAACGCGTTGCACAGTTCAAATAACATTTCCCATTGCTAGAAAGCTATCTGGATATCTTCTTTGTCCACAGCGAAAGAACATTGTTAAGAGGTTATAGAATTTATGTGGCGGTTAATTGGAATAAGGATACTACGAACAGGTTGCACGATACAACCCCGTTGTTGTTACACGGCTTTTCCTTTACACGAGTACTCCAACCGTTCTCAGTATCTTCCAATCTAGCAGATTAAAGGGCGTAGATATAATCCGGAGCGCAGTAATTTCACTGCCGTTTTCAGCGTACGATTTCGTCCCTCCGCTCTTTGTACAGTCTTCCGTGCGGGTTTTAACAATCCAAAATTTTTATAGGGGCGTCATAAATTTCTCGTGATCTCGTTTAATCAAGCCGCGATTTCAGGTGGAAACAGCCTCTAGTATGAATCATACATGGAACTTATTGTTAGCGCGACCGGCGACGAAGGAAGAATATCCAAGAAAACGTGTGTCGAAGCCGCGAACAAAGAACAGTAAAGCGCGTACGCGAGAGGGAGAAAAATGCGGAGGTATAGCCGAGTGTACAGGAAATTCAGTAAAAAGAACAAGGTTTTACTCTCGTAACAACAGCGGAAAAGAGGGGCGGAGAAATGATTTACGTACAAGCAGCAACTACCGTCTATACCTACACGTGAACGAGGTAACACGGTAAGAAATAAGGAAAGACAGTAAAGAAAATTATACGAATGGTAAAAGCGTTCTTTTATATATAAAATTATTTCTATAGCAACCTTAAGTTCGATATTTTAACGATTTGCTGTAAAAATCGATCGGTGGATCAAAGGCAACATATCGAATTGAAATGTTTATTATAGATGATAATTGTTATTAAACGGGTAAATTAGAAAAAAACGCAATTGCAATGTTATCGTGTTACAAATTATTACGTTAACAGCACGCTTGTTAAATCGTTTGCGTTTAACCGCAAATATTGTTGTAACAATAATTATAATTTGAATGTATGGTTGTTATTATAATATGAGTGATACAAAATGTCAATTTAATAGTGACGCAATAGGGATTGTTCGGATTCAAAAGTAGCGTTACATTTCACCGAGCAACGTAAATTCCGTGGATTCTCTAAATGGAGAAGCTTTTCTCAAATGAGCGTGCTGCGATAGCGTACCACGGTTCATCTACGCCGCGTTAAGCTAAGCTTTTTAGCACTCTTCTTCTTTTTCTGTTCGCGGCCTCCGACAGTATCTCGAGCAGCCTGAGAACCACCGAGTGTTAATTGAGAATCCTTTCTCACGAGAGAGTGAAT